CTTCATTTCTCAACACTGCTGTGTCCTGTACACCTCCAGGAAAGCTAGAGTTCATTTTCTGGAGGTACTGGTGCCCCGCGTCCCCATGTGTGTCACCCAGGGGCCCCAAGCTGGTTTTCCCATTTCCTGCTACATAGAAAACAAAACAAGACCAACCACCTTATCCTGGGGACTGCCACAGGCTTTCAAAAGTAAGTTGGGTGGGGTGCCCTCTGCTGGTCAGGAAACAAAATGCAGGTAGGAAGGCTTGAAGGTTGTATCTGTGTTGTGGCTAGGAATTACTCACCCCCACGAGCTGGCCCAAGACCTCAAACACATCAGCTACAGAATGCCAAAAATGACTAAGGCTGGCATGAGTGTCTCACCCAAGACGACCAACAGTATTCTAAAGGCAGATGTAGCTAATGGAGCCCAGGGTGAGTAGGGCATCAAAACAAACAGACAACTATAGATTCCTGGTCCTGAAGCCAGAGCTCCAGGTGCTGCCTGTTTATCCAATTCCAGAAGCACCTGCACGATGTTTCAGGCTGTGGTGGTCAGACTGCTAGTTAGACAAAGAGAAGCTTCTGCGTGTCTTCGAGGGGTTATGTAGATGAGGTCCATTGAGGTAGAAGGGCTTAAGGGGGAAGGGTGCCATTCTTTGGGCTGGGGTATCTGACTAGTTGTTAAGGAGAAACCCAGACATGAGCACTCACTGCTCTCTTCCTTCCGGCTCTGGATGCAATGCAACCACCTGCCTCTAGCTCGGCCACTGAGACTTCTCTGAACTCAACCTCGAGCCTTGAGGCAGAACGAACCTTCCCTTTCTTTATTCGGTTTTGCCAGACCGATTTTTGGTCACAGCAATAAGACAAGTAGCCATCACCATAACCACGCTCTGCATCTCACACACCCGGTGTTTCCTCAGCAGAACGTCTTTATTTCTCCACGTAACCATTGTCTGCGCTCATTGTCTATTCTGCTTGGCCAGGGCTTGCAGAATATGTGCTCTCCAGTGCTAAGCAGCCTTCGGAGTGGATGGCTGAGCTGGCTGCATGGTAGCTACCTAAGCACCTTAGAATGTAAACAGAAACAATGGCCACGCATTCCCGTCTGTGCAGGAATATTTTAAAGGGCATTGTAGAGCATTGGGCACCCTGCCCAGGGCACCAGGCATATGGAATTTCTAAGTGGATGTCCGTTCTTGGCTACCTACTTAGTGAATCAGTCTGCAGGCAGGAGCAGCCCCGAGGCTGGGGTGTGCTGAAGAATCCCTCCCACATTACGAAGCTTGCCGTGAGGCAGGAGGAAAGGAAGGCACCGGGAGGATCATCAAATGCAGGGACGTGGCTTCAACTGTGTCTCTGGCCTGTAGGACACGGGTAAGAGCTGTGTCTGTGGTCTGACACTGGGGACCTCACATGCAATGCAGGTTTCTAGCATACAGGCAAGCGGCAGAAGGGACCGAGCTCAGGATGGAGGACTTACAGAGGGGGTTTCAGTTCAGGCTTTCTCAGGCAGAACGGAAAGGCAGTCCTGCCCACCCCTGACTCTGCGCGCTTTGGGACTCTTTAATCTCCATGAGCTTCATCCCCCCCCCCAAGAATCCATGGCGCCCATGCCATTAGGCTGTCCAATGAGCAAGCACACTGCACTGCGAATTCTGAGGAAGACTCACCCCAGATAATTGGTGCAGTATACACTGCCTGTGTATACAGCTGCTCTTATCGCAGCTAACGCTGGAAAGGTGGGAAGCAAGGATGTTTCTGATAAGCTTATTCCCCACCTGGCAGCTGTGGAGAAAGGCAGGCATTTATGCAGAATGCCATTCTGACTTCTGCCCACCACCCACATCCCCACTTCCCTGTCCTCCGAGGCATCTATGACACCTCACACCCGGCATCCTCCATCCTACCTGGAGTTCAGAACTGGCTGCAGCAGAGGGTGCCCTTCTGCTCCGTGGTGTGCGATTGCTTTCCAGTGGTAACACACCCCCACTCTGCAGCCCAAAGGAGCCCTCATGTAACGAGTTTGGGGGACAATGATAACGTCACCTGCTTTGTGATGGCTGTGAAGATTGATAACACAGCACAGGTGTGTAGCCCGGGGCCCAGGGTGTGGTACAGGCTCTGATCAGCACAGGGGTGCCACTGTCGCTGTCCAAAACCACAAGCCATTTGTTTAAAGGTGACCTATAAGTCACATTTCCTTCCTCTTCTGTCCCAGGTGGCTATGCCAAACTGGCAGAGGTGTAACCCTGGAAGAAAATGTGAGCTTCTTTTATTATTGATCAAGTTTGTTCTTAGACAATTTTGTATAAGTATACAATGCATTCTGCCCTCTCTCTCTCTCTCTCTCTCTCTCTCTCTCTCTCTCTCATCCTTTTTCATTTTCTTCCCACTCCAGTCAGCACCTTTTTTTCCTTTCGAGTATTTCCCCCAATATTTACTAGTTCCTATTTCGTTTCATGTCCCACGGAGTTTAACTAAGGCCATCTGTGTGACCCTGAGTTTGGAACAAACTCACCACCGCAGCCTGGCACACTCACCAGTGGGTACACAGTTGAATAACATGTCATCAATAGGTCATCAAAGTGAGAAAGTGAGTTTCTGTGTGGAAAAGAACATGTGTGCATTTGCAGAAGACACATGTGCTTGCCCCGTGCCAACACATCAGATACAAGCTCCAATTAGGAGCAGGTTGTGTCTACGAAGATCTCATAGACCAAGGGGAAATGAAGCTCTTTGCAAGCCAGCATGAGAAGTAGGGAGTGATACAGAGTGAGTGCTACAGGCATTGGGGGGGACAGGGAGGATTAGCACAGCAGGCAGGCAGGGAGCAGGTGATTTTTAGGGTGGCTTTCTGCAGGAGAGGTCTGGGCTGAATGAAGAAGGAGCAGCAGCTGGTGTCAGCGTGAGAAGCAGACAGCAGACAGGGTGGGGATGGCATTCTAGGCAGGGGACAGGGTGTGCACAAAAGAAAGCAAGGCTCCTTTGCTTATCAGTGATTGTTCGGGGTGGAGCAAGAACAGAGTTTCAGGGGTGGGAGGTGAGGTATGAGGTTGGCAGGTGGGTAACAGCATCACCAGCATCCGGGAGAAAGGGGCGCGCTGGCTACGGAAAAGGGGGAAATGGACATATTGCAGAATGGAGAACAGATAGGTACAGCCTGGCCTCCTCTGAGGAGGCCAGGAAACTGCAGGCAACCCAGGAGGGAGATGAGGGTTAGTGCAGCTGGGGCTGGGATCCAGGGCTCTAGAGAGGAATGTGGGGCACGCCCCATGAGCCTCCTGAGAGGCTCTGGTGAGGGGATTCTAGAGCCTGGTCCTAGGTTAGGAACATGGGCACCTGGTCTCTCCCTGGAACTCCCACTGGAATCCATCTCTCCCACACTGTGTCTTCTGCTCTCCACGGGACCCTCTGTGCATCCTCAGTGGCAAAGAAAAGAGCACAGATTTCCCTTCTCAGGTTCCCTATTCAGTCAAGTGGTCAGGCTTAGTGCAAGCACCTCACCCATTCAGCTGTCTGCCGGTGCGTGTGACAGGAATTTGAGAGTGCCTCCAGCTCTTGCGAAGCTGAGAGAGTATTCAAGACGAGGAGGGGGACAGACATTATGAGCTGTCTCCAAATGATGCTCCAGGGAGCAACTACATCACGTGGACCAGGGAGAGTGTGTGACAGACAACACAGACACCCCCCCCCCCCACACACACACACTGGAGAGTCAGGGCCATCTCTCGGGACACTTTACACTTTAAAAATGCCCCTTGCAGATGAGATTTACTTGTAGGATTAGCAGATTCTACTTTTTAATTTTAAAATTTTGTTTGTTTTATTGAGATCAACATAGATGGTCTGTAAGGAAGTTGCTTGAGGAGGAGGAGGCTGAGTTGGTAAAGGGCTGGTCAGTAGGTATGAGAACATGGGTTAGAATGCTGGGTGCAGTGATTTGTGCCTGTAATCTCACTGAGGAGGTGGAGACAGGTGGATCCCTGGGGCTCCCTGGGGAGCCGACATAGTCCCATCAGTGACCCCCAGGGCCCAGTGTGTGAGACCGTATCCCACAAAACAAGGAGGATGTCTTCTGAGCAATGACATCTTCTGGGACTGACCTCTTCCCTCCGCATGAATATTGCACACGGCACACCCCCACCCCACTCCAGCCCGCCCCCACACCTACAAGAACACAAAAGTCACCTCTGCTCCATCAGGGAGACACCATCTCTTAAACAAGAAAAAAAAAAATACCAGCATCCCACTTCACAGGTCTTTCTTATTTAAAATGTTTATTTTTTATCTCTCTCTCTCTCTCTCTCTCTCTCTCTCTCTCTCTCTCTCTCTGTGTGTGTGTGTGTGTGTGTGTGTGTGTGTGTGTGTGTGTTTGCATGAGTACAGGCTCTCAGAGAGTCCAGAAAAGGATGTCAGATCCCTGAAGCTGGAGTTACAGGCAGTTGGGAGTCACTCGAAGTGGGTGCTGGGAACCGAACTCAGGCCGTCTGCAAGAGCAGCATCCATTCTAAACCACTGCGCCACAGCTCCAGCCCTCACTTCATGGGTTCTTCAACACTTACTAAACTTCTCTCCAGCACCGTCCGAGATCTAGATGGATTATACTTATTTAGAGTGTCTGTGAAACAAGAGGAGGCTTTGGCGTGGTGAGAAAGGCTCGGAGTGACTTCTGAGCAAGGCGCTGGGCCTCATGCTTCCGTCTGTGGAGTAGGGATGACCACACGTCCCTCACAGTCTCACCACCAGGGTTCTGGATCCTGCAAAGCCCCAGTCCACAGGCCAGCACCTCCCACCTCCCGTGCCCCCATCGCCACCACCACCAGTGCCGCAGCACCCTCAGACAGAAGGCGACCCTGAACCACAAGCCGCCTGTTGGTGGGACTGGCAGCCGGGACACACACATTGAAAACAGATCCTTTCCCATTTGCCCCATCTGCCTTCCTGTCAGTTCCAGGAATTGACCTGACAAATATTAACCAGGTGACTGTGGTCTTCAAACACTATTGCCCTATGGGCAGAAGGCCGTGTGGGGCTGTGGAGCTGCGCCCACCTCGGTAACTTCTCTGTGAGTATACACTGTACCCCAAATGAGGGTAGGCCTCTGTCTGTCTGTCTGTATGTCTGTCTGTCTATCTATCTACCTATCATTTTTTGGCCTTGGCGGCAGAAATGGGCAGTGAGTTCCCTAGATGGCCCTGATGAGTGCTGCCTCTGAATTTTGCAGCTAGAGCTTCTGGTCTTCTGTTACCTTCTCTGGAAAAGTCGGCCACTGGGAGTCGTGACATATGGACTCCCAGTACTGCTAGCAAGCCAATCAGGCAACCGAACTCAAAGCAAAATGGCAACTTCCCTAAGAACTCAGTTATGGCCACAGGTCCATGCCCAGAAGTCTAGGTCTGGAATAGAGCCTTGCCAAGTGGAAGCCTCAGTTTCCCCATATGCACAACTGAGTTAAGAGTCTCTGTGACTGGAGGGTCTCAGGGGCATTAATTTAAACAAGAGAGAGGAATTGCCACAGTATTTGAGGGTTCCCGGCATTCCAACAGCTTTCAGGTGTTTGCGTCTCAGCTGGGAAACATCTTCTGGCCAGTGATAAGACCTGGGATGCCACGCCCACTCGCACCCTCCCACACATATGTAAATACCTCTGTCTGCAGACCTGTGATGCAATGTGCCCAATGTACCCAGCGCTTCAACAAACATTTCGAAACCAGGTTTATAATTCAGGAACAGGGTTCTGAGTTTTCTCCGAGGATCTGCCAGGGAATGGAGCTAAGTTAACTGGATTTCCATTGCCCCCAGCCTGGGTAGAAGTGGGAGACAACCTCCTGCAGTGTCTTTCTCAGGTGCTGGCACTTTTCATGTCGACGTCATAAATCATGAAAGGGGATGGCATTGCCATTTGAATTCTGCATAGAACTGCGGAGACAGTGTCCCACAGTGAGTAACTGCAGAGCCCTAGAGCAAGCCCAGGCTATGGCAGCGCTGGCTACATCAGTCTTCCTTGGGAAACACGTGCACCTTGGGGTGCAGCTAGGTAGGGAAGGGTGCTGAGTTCAATGGCCACAATTGGCTCCCTCACAGTTTCCGCCCTTCCTTTACCAGGGGCAGACCAATTACCTAATTGTTTTATATCTTCTGGTTTTTCTATCTAAGGAAAATCCCAACACACAAAACATCCCTTAATATGCTTCCATGGAGCTGGTGCTGGTGGGAGGAGCCGACTTTCGGATCTGGCCACCATACTCTAGCTACCAAATGTGTTTCTGCATTGTCCTCACCTACTGAGAGCAGGTGGCTCTTGTAATTTGGTGGGCATTCTGAGTGCCAAGGGCAGTGCTCCATCCATCTGCAATCTCTCCCTCGTCACTCCAACAGTTAATACTGAGAGCTAAAGGCCACCACATGGGCAAAACCTATAGAAGGTGTTGGTCACAATGTAGATGCTTTCAGGACCAACCAGAGTCAAGGATCAGCTTGTAGCTACTGGATGTGGAATCAAAAAGTGGAAGGGCTTGTTTGGGGGGCACCCAGGAGGATATCAGGGTCCAGAAGTGGATGCAAAGTGAGGTGAGCCTAGCTCTGTCTACACAGCAGGATCCTCCCCTGCACTTAAGCCAAGGGTCTTCCAGCTCCTGTATCTCTTTGAACCCTGTGGAGGTGACCAAAGGCCTTCTGGGGCGTCTCATAACTTAAACTAGAGCAGAAGACAATTTCAAAGTAAAGCAGCATTATGAGGTCTTAGGAGTTGGAACTTGGCATATTAATTTGGGGCAGGCACAACTCAATCTGTAACAGATCTTTCCAAAAATCCTGCATCCATGCACAAAAGACGTTTCTGTGGCTGCGGATAGTGTAGATGGTACCCTGTAGGTAGAGACTGCTCGTTCATTCCCTGCTACCCAGATCCTAATAATCACACAGAAACTATATTAATTGCAACACTGTTTGGCCTTTTAGCTCAGGCTTCTTATCCCACTCTCTCTAAATATCTCTGTTTGGATTTTCCACCAGGCTTTGCTCTGCTAAGCCATTGGCCAAAACAGCCTTATTAATTGGATAATAAAATTAACACATATACAGAAGGACATCCCACATAAGTGCCCCTGCATCCATGCACACAGGTGTTTCTGTGGCTGCACACAGTGTGGATGGTACCCCTGCATCAAAGCACACAGGTGTTTCTGTGTAGATGCTACTGCTGCATGCATGTACATGGATGCTTCCATCACTGCACACAGTATAGATAGTACCCCTGCATCCATGCACACAGGTGTTTCTGTGGCTGCACACAGTGTAGATGACACCCCTGCATCCATGCACACAGGTGTTTCTGTGGCTGCACACAGTGTAGATGACACCCCTGCATCCATGCACACAGGTGTTTCTGTGGCTGCACACAGTGTAGATGGTACCCTGCATCCATGCACACAGTGTAGATGACACCCCTGCATCCATGCACACAGGTGTTTCTGTGGCTGCACACAGTGTAGATGGTACCCTTGCATCCATGCACACAGGTGTTTCTGTGGCTGCACACAGTGTAGATGGTACCCTGCATCCATGCACACAGGTGTTTCTGTGGCTGCACACAGTGTAGATGACACCCCTGCATCCATGCACACAGGTGTTTCTGTGGCTGCACACAGTGTAGATGGTACCCTGCATCCATGCACACAGGTGTTTCTGTGACTGCACACAGTGTAGATGACACCCCTGCATCCATGCACACAGGTGTTTCTGTGGCTGCACACAGTGTAGATGGTACCCCTGCATCCATGCACACGGGTGTTTCTGTGGCTGCACACAGTGTAGATGGTACCCTTGCATCCATGCACATGGGTGTTTCTGTGGCTGCACACAGCGTGGATGGTACCCCTGCATCCATGCACACAGGTGTTTCTGTGGCTGCACACAGTGTAGATGGTACCCCTGCATCTATGCACACAGGTGTTTCTGTGGCTGCACACAGTGTAGATGACACCCCTGCATCCATGCACACAGGTGTTTCTGTGGCTGCAGACAGTGTAGATGACACCCCTGCATCCATGCACACGGGTGTTTCTGTGGCTGCACACAGTGTAGATGGTACCCCTGCATCCATGCACACAGGTATTTCTGTGGCTGCACACAGTGTGGATGACACCCCTGCATCCATGCACATGGGTGTTTCTCTGGCTGCACACAGTGTCGATGACACCCCTGCATCCATGCACACAGGTGTTTCTGTGGCTGCACACAGTGTAGATGACACCCCTGCATCCATGCACATAGGTGTTTCTGTGGCTGCACACAGTGTGGATGGTACCCCTGCATCCATGCACATGGGTGTTTCTGTGGCTGCACACAGTATAGATGACACCCCTGCATCCATGCACACAGGTGTTTCTGTGGCTGCACACAGTGTAGATGGTACCCCTGCATCCATGCACACAGGTGTTTCTGTGGCTGCACACAGTGTAGATGACACCCCTGCATCCATGCACACAGGTGTTTCTGTGGCTGCACACAGTGTGGATGGTACCCTTGCATCCATGCACACAGGTGTTTCTGTGGCTGCACACAGTGTAGATGGTACCCCTGCATCCATGCACACAGGTATTTCTGTGGCTGCACACAGTGTGGATGACACCCCTGCATCCATGCACATGGGTGTTTCTCTGGCTGCACACAGTGTCGATGACACCCCTGCATCCATGCACACAGGTGTTTCTGTGGCTGCACACAGTGTAGATGGTACCCCTGCATCCATGCACACAGGTGTTTCTGTGGCTGCACACAGCATAGATGATTCCCCTACACTCATGTATGCAGGTGCTTCCATCCCTGCACACAGTGTGGATAGTTTCTAGGCAGCAGGGGTGTGGAGATGTAGAGACAGAGCCCATCTCTCTTTCAGCTCTTCTCCTGGGAGCCATGGGTCCTGTTACTTTATCCTCCCTCAGAGGCTGCCCTCATCTCTGTAAACTTGATTGTTGATCCAAGCTAATGTAAGGTATCAAAGGTAGATGGCCTTTCTCCTTGGGACCTAAAGGAGATGTTGTACTGCACCTTCTTCCTTGCAACTGACTGCACTATCCCATAGCCACACTCAAGGGGCCTAGCATCACTTGTGTTCATACAGAACATTTTCTCCACAGCATCCCCTAGTTTCTAAAGAGGGTTACATAAGCACCCGCCTAGGCCAACACTGGATATTGCCTCAAATATGCCCTAAATCAGTGGTTCTCAACCTGTGAGTCACGATATTTATATGATCAATAATAACAGTTGCAAAATTTACAGTTATGAAATAGCAACAAAATAATTTTATGGTTTGTGGTCATCACACCATAGGAACTGTATTAAAGGGTTGCAGCATTGGGTAGGTTGAGAATCACTGTCCTAAATTCTGGGGATCCTGGGATAGTGTTAGTATCTTTTCTCCATGATATACTCAGTGCCTAGCACACCTGTACAGCCAATGGAGCCTTGGACACTCTGTATGATTAAAAAACAACAACTACAACTAGGTCCAGAAGAATAAAGAAAAATAAAAATAAAATGGAAGGGGAGGAGAGAGAAAAGAAGGAAGGAAGGAAGGAGGGAGGGAGGAAAGAAGGAAGGAGAGAGGGAGGGAGGGAGGCAGGGAGGGAGGGAGGGAGGGGAAGAAAAGGATAAAGATAGAAAGATGAGAAGAGAATCAAAAGGAGGAAGAAGAGGGAGGGAGTGAATGAAGGAGGAAAGGAGGGAAAGGAGGAAGGGAGGAAGATGGGAGGAAGGCTGGATTGCAGGATCTATTTTCCAGCTAGAGTCCCAGTTGTCCCCCTTTCCCCTCTTCTCTGCAGCACAGTGAGGGATCGATAAGTCATGGGTGGTAGCATCACTGTAAACTCTGGGGATGATGCTCTCATCTATCAAGAAAACTAATGTGTCCCCATCTTCTTTTCAGATGATGGGGCCAGTGTGGCTGTGGCTGCTGGTAACCGAGGTCCTGCTCCCTGTTCATTGTCAGCCATTTTCTCCCCACGGAGAGAAGAGTCTGGGGGTGCCTCAACCAGCCAGCCACCAGCTCCTGGAGCCAGCACCCACCTATGGCAAGGTCACACCCACCATCACTAATTTTGCTTTGCGTCTCTACAAACAGCTAGCAGAGGACGTCCCCGAAAACATCCTCTTCTCCCCCGTGAGCCTCTCTAGCATCCTGGCTCTTCTCTCTCTTGGGGCACCTGCTGACACCCAAATTCAGATTCTGGAGAGCCTGGGCTTCAACCTCACGGAGACCCCAGCAGCTGACGTCCACCGGGGCTTCCAGAGCCTCCTGCACACACTTGACCTGCCCAGCCCCAAACTGGAACTGAAAGTGGGGCATTCCCTGTTCTTAGACAGGCACCTGAAGCCTCAGCAGCGCTTTCTGGACAGCGCCAAGGAGCTGTATGGAGCACTGGCTTTTTCTGCCAACTTCACGGATGCAGCTGCCACAGGGCAGCAGATCAACGACCTGGTGAGGAAGCAGACCTATGGGCAGGTGGTGGACTCTCTCCCGGAGTTTGGCCCTGACACCGTCATGGTTCTCTTGAACTACATCTTCTTCAAAGGTGAGACTTCTCTAACAGAACTATTGCTCTCTCTGCTCTCTCTGTTCAAGTAAGTGGTCTGTTTGCGGGGCTGGCCAGGCTCCTGCCTTTCATGGATATGATAGTTCCCCTACCCTTGTGTAGATCATGTCCCCTGTGGATTGGAACTCAGGAAAGAGAAAGCACAGCTCAGAGGAACAGGGTAAGCATGGGCCATATAACTCTCAACAGAGACCCTGGCCTGCATTAAGGCATACATCCCAGAAAGGGGGCATCTGTTTTAGTATGGCGGCACGTTCCTGCAAGCCCAGCATTCGGGAGGCTGGGGAAAGAGCTGGATATGAGCCTGGATTATATAGCGAGACCTTATCTCAAATGAATAAATAAAAAAAAAGAATCAATGAATGAACGAATAAATGGAGGGCCAAGGAGACGGCTCCATGGGTACATGATCCTCTTGCCTCAGCTTCCTGAGGGCTAATATTACAGGTGTGGGCCCCCATCCCCAGCTTGAAGCTCTTCGCAGATGCTGAGCCATCTGGTCAAACGCTTGCTTTCGCATTCCCACATAACCTGAGCCGTGCTGTCAGAATCAGGCTGCCAGTCCCAGTCACATCCCTCAGGGCCCTGGAGATCAGGGTGTGTTAATCAACCCATGCCTACCACATTACTAAAAACACACTCTTCTTACTCATTTCTGATGACTTAAGTCTTAAGAGGTAGTTCTTCAGGGGCTGGAGAGATGACTCAATGGTTAGGACTACTGGCTGCTCTCCTAAAGGACCTGGATTCAATTCCTGGCACCAGCTCATGGCTGTAATGCCATGTTCAGGGGGATCTGATGCCCACTTTGTGCCTCCATGGGCACTGCACATACATAGTGACTAGACATACAGGTACTAAATACTCATACACATAAAATAAAAACACATCTTTCTTTTTTTTTGTCAGTATGTTCTTCTGGTTTTTTTAAATTTATTTATTTATTAAAGATTTCTGCCTCCTCCCCACCACCGCCTCCCATTTCTCTCCCCCTCCCCCAATCAAGTCCCCCTCCCTCATCAGCCCGAAGAGCAATCAGGGTTCCCTGACCTGTGGGAAGTCCAAGGGCCACCCACCTCCATCCAGGTCTAGTTAGGTGAGCATCCCAATTTCCTAGGCTCCCACAAAGCCAGTACGTGCAGTAGGATCAAAAACCCATTGCCATTGTTCTTGAGTTCTCAGTAGTCCTCATTGTCCACTATGTTCAGCAAGTCCGGTTTTATCCCATGCTTTTTCAGACCCAGGCCAGCTGGCCTTGGTGAGTTCCCAATAGAACATCCCCATTGTCTCAGTGTGTGGGTGCACCCCTGGTGGTCCTGAGTTCCTTGCTCGTGCTCTCTCTCCTTCTGCTCCTGATTTGGACCTTGAGATTTCAGTCCAGTGCTCCAATGAAAACACATCTTTCTTAAAGGAGAGAAATCAGGCTTTGTACAAGGAAGGCAGGGCCACCCCATGTCTGCTTTGTAGGCAAATTCTCTCAGTGCAGTGTAACCATGGGTCACTGAGTTCGGACCCTAAGGACACAAGTTCACCCTGGCTTTGGGTCCTGCTACTTCTGACCCATTCCAGAGGACATCACCACCCTGCATGACCTTGCGGAGGGAGGTCTCACTGAATGACTCCCTTGCCCACGTGTTCATTTGTACCCTCAGCCAAATGGAAGCATCCCTTTGATCGCTACCAGACCCGGAAGCAAGAGAGCTTCTCCCGGGACCAGAGGACGGCACTCCGCATCCCAATGATGCGGCAGAAGGAAATGCACAGGTTCCTGTATGACCAGGAGGCATCGTGCACTGTCCTTCAGATCGAGTACAGTGGCACTGCCCTGCTGCTGCTGGTCCTCCCTGACCCTGGGAAGATGCAGCAGGTAGAGGCTGCCCTCCAACCAGAGAGGCTGAGAAGGTGGAGCCAGAGGTTCCTGCCCAGGTGAGTGCCCCAACGTGTTGTCTACCCTTGCTCAAGAGCTGGGGCAAGTTTGATCAATACAGCCCCAAGATCTATCTGCTGGTTTGCCTCCCCATCTCACCCTCGACTTCACATTGATTTCCCCGTGTCTTTGGGTCCCAGACTTCCTTGAGTGTTCAAGCAAGAACACGGTACCTGCTGCATGGCAGTGGGGGTGGAGACGAATGGAGACAGTAATTGAGTTATTAGGTTGTTACTAAGATCTGAGTGCTCTCTGGGCTGACTTTATTATCCCTCCTTGGGATCCTTCTGACCCCCCAACCGTAAAATTATTTTTTGTTGCTACTCCATAACTGTAATTTTGCTACTGTTATGAATCATAATGTAAACAATTTTTGGAACTAGAGGTTTGCAAACAGGACCCACAGGTTGAGAACCACTGCTCTAGATGCTTGCAGCAGCCCTGAGGGTGGGCATCCCCATGCCATTTTTCAGGAAAGCTCAGTCAGGTAGAGGAAGATGATGGCGGCTTGCATTGGGGCAGTGTCAGTAAATGGAGTTAGCGTACAGTTGGGGAACTGAGTCAGAAGCACCTGCAGATGAGTCGGATATAGAGGTGGATATAAATGGTATTTTATTTACTCTGCCTGGTGTCACGTGGATTCAATCAGTGGAGCCTTGGTAAACTCTGGCTAGTGTCTGGCACCTAGAAAGCTCTCCGCAAACCCAGGGAAGATGACGAAGACAGAAGCCTCTGCCAGGGAACTTCTTAGAACCAGCCATGAGTCACTGTGAGGTCTGCATGGTCTACGTAGAGGGAGATTTGGGTTGGCATAGGTTGTGGAATACTCTACCATCATAAATGACATCATAGGAAGACTGATTGTCCCACAAGCTGGGGGACCCTGTTCTTTCTCAGGGCCCAGGCTGCGACACACAACAGGACGGTGCCTTTTCTCTGATTTCCTCTCTAGTCTGCTGGATTTGCACCTGCCAAGGTTCTCAATATCTGCATCCTACAACCTGGAAGAGATCCTGCCCCTCATTGGTCTCAGCAACATGTTTGACATGGAAACTGACCTATCAGGAATCATGGGGCAACTCAACAGAACTGTCTCCAGGGTAAGGCAGGGAGTGTGGACGTGGGGAGGTTGATGTTTCTCTTCCCACATGAAGTGTATTGGGAACCAAAGTCCCCAGTCTCTTCCCTAGACTGACTTTTCAACACACAGTCTTTACAGATTCTATTTATGGACAACTCCATTTCATCTTCCCTTCCTGAGATCCACACTAGTCAGGGTGGTAATGTAGGGTTCTAAGTAGAATGGAACTCATTGAACAGTAATCATCTGGTCATCCACAGAGCCAGAATGATGCCAGGTTAGTGGCAGCATTTTTTTTTGTTTCAAATACTTTCTCTTTGGGTACCAGGAACTCTGTCTTTGTCATAGCTGTAGAAAGTGATATAGTATGAACAGGAGGTGTAGTAGTTAGCATTGCTACATAACAAGCATCCCCTACATCCCAACGCATTATCATAACAGAGACTTATTGTGAGAATTCCTTCCCAGAGGAGATGTAAGCAATGTCTATCCATTCTTCATTAGGTCCCACAACAGACCCAAGTACAGTTCCATCCAAGTTCATCTTGGGGAGCCTTTGAGTTCATTAGGCTTACTTATAGGGCACGGGTGAGGGGCTACAGGCAGGAGAATAGGTGACCCCAAGTCAGCTTTCTTCACTCAGCACAGACGGAGTCCTTCTTCCATCAGTCTTCCTCACCGTTTACTCTTTTCAGAATGCTGACCCACATGAAAATAGAACAGAATTGTGTACAAATGGCTGACAGGAGCCCCTGGACACTCAGGTGTGGGCTGATGACTCATCTCCACCCCCTCCTTCTGTGAGGGAATGTCAACAGTTGTGGTGGACACTTGTAGGCACGCAAAACGCTCTGCTAAAGATGACAGCTTCTTTGCTCGACCCATCTCTAGCGGGCAGTGCCTCCTAGAAGCAGCTGGCTGGTTAAAGAGCTGCTCCCTCTGACTTCTTCCAGGACAGGAGTTAAAGGACAATCCCTCTCTCGGAGGAGAAAAGGAGGACAAGAGAAACACCCAGAGACTCTTAACTCTCCCATCCTCCACAGGCCTGTGCAACAGCCACTCAGAGCCACTGATTAAAACAGGGATCCTGTGCAGGCAGTGGGAAAGGGCTGGGTCCTCTCCTGATGGACGACACCACAAGCCAGGTGGAATGGGCAAGGATTTGTAGCCCTCGAACAGAAAGGGTAGCCTTTCCCAGGAGGGAAAGTGGCCAAGGCCCTTCCCAGAGCTCAGCTTGGTTTACGTTAGTGGTGTTCACTACCATCGGGATTTTTGTTAGGACCTTGTGAGGAATGGACTCTGTCTTGTCTTTAGGAGGGACCAGCTGAGAACTGAATGCACGACCCTGGCAGCAGGGATGCGATACATGTATAAGTGTGCCTGCACATGCATGGCAGTGTGTGCGTGTGTGTGTGTGTGTGCATGTGCGTGTGTGTATGCATGTGTGTGTGCGTGCGTGTGTGTGTGCGTGTGTGCACGTGTGCGTGCGTGTGTGTGCGTGCGTGCGTGCGTGTGCATGCGTGTGTGTGTGTGTGTGTGTGTGTGTGTGTGTACCTGTGTGGGGTGAGGTGGTGGACTAGAAGAAAACGAAAGATTTCTAAGAACTTTGCACAGTGGCCGTGCATAACTCAGGGGCCTTTCACAGACCCTTTTTTGGAGATAAAAGAACTCATCAAGGCCCTTTCCCCAACTTTTTCTGGAATCTGAGTCCTTTCTTGTTAGGGAGTTGTGTAAAATGAGACTTTAAATGTTCTGTGCTTAGGGCAGCGTGGGGCCATGTTCCATCCTTCTCCTTTAGAACCCGCTATTGGCCACAAGCCATCTTTAAGATGGGAGGGGGGTTAGAGGGGGTAGGCAAAGCTCAAAGGAGCCTGTGCCCTGTGTGCGTGCTGGACTTGAGCCAGCAGGCACTTAGCTCCTCAGCGGGGCCAAGGCTGCCTCATGTCAGGGTGCTGGGCCTAGGGAGGGGAGTCAGTACAGAGGCAGGGGGGTGACACACAGAACTGGGGCTGTTTCTTAGGCAGGCTCTAACCTCTGCCCTCAAACCATGGATGAGTGCTAACTCAGTCTGTCTCTCTCCTAGGTGTCACACAAGGCTGCAGTGGACATGAATGAGAAGGGAACTGAGGCCTCCGCTGCCTCTGGCCTTCTTTCCCAGCCGGTGCCCCTGAACATGACGTCGGCCCCACACGCCCACGCCCATTTCAACAGGCCCTTCCTGCTCCTTCTCTGGGAGGTGTACACTCAGAGTCTGCTCTTCCTGGGGAAAGTGGTCAATCCAGCTGCTGTGTGACTGTGGTGGGAGGCACAGTATGGCTACCGGGCTGCACTGCAGGATCCTTCGGAGCAGGCTTCCTTTGGGCCACAAACCAGCTCCCAAATAAAGACACGGAGACTTAATATTAGTTATGAATGCCCAACCTTAGCTTATACTTGTCCTGCTGGCTCTTATAACTTACTCTGTTTCTCCGATTTACATTTGCCTCAGGTTTTTTATTTTTTTTAACCTTCCTTTCATTCTGTATGTCTTACTCCACTGCTTACTCCATGTCTGGCTGGCAGACGTCTGGCTAGGTGTCTCCCTAGAGTTTCTGCCTCATTCTCTTCTCCCTTCTTTCCCAGCCTAGCTTATTTCCTCCTACTTATTCATCCTGCCTATCCCTCTACTGCCTAGCTATTGGCTCTCCAGTTTTTTATTAAACCAATCAGATGTCTTAGGCAGGCTAAGCAACGTATCTTTACACCATTAAACAAATGCAGCATAAACAGATGTAACATATCCTTGCATCATTAAAAGTACTATTCCACAACACCCCTGTTCTAATAAAGCTGAGTTTGGCTGTGAAGTCATGTGAGTCATGCTTGCAGGAGGGTAATGTCCAGGGCAGCTTCTAGTCATTCCCTCTGTGACCTTTACAAACCCCCCTCTTCCATTGCAGACATTTGCTGAGTTACCTTAGGGTCAGGGAACACCTAGGCCGCGCAGAGAAAGAGCAAGCTTCTGTCTTCACAGCCTCAAACCTGGGCTTGAACCAAGTGATGTCCCCCTGCAGTGTCATCTGGAGGGGAAGCTAGACCTAGGGAAGGGATTTCAAATCATGAAGAAAGAGGGTAGGAGAATGGACCAGCTTCGTCATCAATCCAACAGCAGAATTCAAAAGGCAGCAAAACAGCGTCAGAGGCAAGGGTTGCCCAAGGACAAAGAGGATGGGGGTGGGATATAGGGCAAAATCTCCTTCAGTGGGATGAACTTGGGAGCTTTATTCCTGTGTGTGTCTATGCGCGCACACACACATGCACATGCATGCGCACGTGCATATATATAATTTTAAACCTAGGATCTGTGTGTAAGGGAAACATGGCATTTGTCTTTCAATTCTACCTAGTTCTCTTCAACAGCCTTGAATTTCCAGTCTCAAGCATTTTCTGCAAATGTCGTGGTTTCACTTTTCTTTATAGCTGCATAGAACGGCACTGAGCTATGTACCACCCCTCCTCCATCCATCCATCCATCCTCTGAGGGACATCTAGGCTGGCTGCACATCCCAGCTTTTGTGTGCAGAGCAGTGACAAACCCAGAGGCACAACACTGACGTTTTATCCTAAGGATCTGCACTGTTAGACAAACATCCTAAACCAAAGTCCTGAGTTCAGTCCTGGACTGCCAGAGGGAATATTGGAAAAAGGCTTGGGTTGCTGAGCGGTGAATGATACCTGAGCAGCCTGAGCTGGGAAGTGCCTGCCTTCTGTTTTGTCTGCAGCAAGATTAATAAGATCAATGGGCAATATTGCCGGTTCACTTCATATTTGAGGGGAAAGGTATTTCTTAAAGTAATTTAGAGGCCTCAGATAAGAGGAGTCCCCTTTTATCTAGAGCAGTGATTCTCAACCTTTCTGATCCCATGACCCTCCTAATATTGTGGTGATCCCCCAACCATTAAATGATTTTCGTTGCTACTTCATAACTGCAATTTTTTTACTGATGAGAATCATAATGTAAATATCTTAGGCAATCCCTTTGAAAAGGTTGTTTGACTCTAAAGGGGCTGTGACCCACAGGTTGAGAATCAAGTGATCTAAACCGAGGTATTGGGAGGGGAAGATGTTGATCCCATACCTACCTGCCCATCATCGAAGGCTCATACTGCCCCCTGCCGGTTATAGAAGGTCATTGGCACATCTTGGAATCTAGCCATCTAGTTGGTGCACCCCTAGGTTAGTTGGACAGAGGATTCCTTGTAAAATGATAGAGTTGCCAAATATGATACAGTTTGCTGAAATTTAGGTAAGCCAAATAAGTTTTTTTATGTAAGAATTCACCATGAAATATTTGGACCATATTTATACTAAAACATTTACTTTTCTTGTTCACTCCTCTAATTAGTAAGTTGTCTTACGTTTTTACAGAGGCATAGAGAGGGGCCCCTGGGTCAACACTCTTTAGTGTTTAGCCTCAGAATGAAGTCACATGGGACGGAAGGGCAGGCTGGTCCCTCCTCGGGGCAGAACATGAAGTCAACAACAGAAGGGAACAGAAGTCCTGTTCAGAAGCTAGGCCATTTCTGAGACACCACTGCCTCCCCTGAGAAGCAAACACCAGAGATGCCCAGAACCACAGAGAGCATCACAAACACATCTGTGTTCCCTTGGCAGTAAATTACACTTCCCTTCCCGGATAAGGCTATTTTCAACATGAAGGGGCAGGTAGCTCCTGTGACGGTCTCTGGGGTGAGGCAGAGGTCCTGAAACCACCAAAGGGCTAGGGAGTCTCCAGGGAGCGCCGTGGGCAGCCGAAGGCACTGCTGGGGAGTTTGCTCCTGTCCGTCTTTGAGGAATAATGACGTTGGGACATTTCAGATATTGTCTCTGCTGTCTGTACAGGAGGATTATTAGTGTAGTGAATCAGAAAAGCAAACACCTAAGACAGGCAGTAGGTCCTCATCTTGCTTTAGTCCAGGTTTGGCCATGTCCACTGCTCCTGCCTTGCCAAAACTGACTTCCACAGCAGTGGGATTTCCTCCTAGTGAGATGGTCTGAACAGTGACGTGTCCTTCAGGGCCTTCCCGGGGACAAACTCCCTCAGACCCCTATGAGGATGACATCTGGACTCTGCCTTAAGACAAGACAAGTCTACAGTGAGGAAGGAGAGCAGGAGGGGCCTCTTTTGACAGAGGGGGGGTTCGTGACCCTCAGAAAGCAAGGGCACAGTATTCTGATGGTGACAGGGAGAGGACAGGGGGAAAGCTAGCACGTGAAAGACCTCATTTGCAGTGAAGGTCACATGCCCAGTGCTCGCCACTTCATGCTCAATTCTCTTTTATTTCTTGATTGTTTCTTCTAGGTGTTTTGTTGTTGTTGTTGTTGTTGTTGACTCTATTCACTGTGCACAGTATTGATTTAATATAGACAGTGTTTTGGAGCACATCAAATGCATTGACCGCATTCACTCCTTCTACCCTTTCTCTATAGTCTCCTCTTCCTTATTCCCCCACTAGTCTCCTCTCTCTCTCTCTCTCTCTCTCTCTCTCTCTCTCTCTCTCTCGTCTCCATTCTGTTTTTATTGCATATGTGATTCACAATATATATTTATATGATTTTATATATGTACAAAAATCCTAGGTCACGCAAATGACAGAAAATATATTTAGTATACTTGTCTTACTGAGTCTGGGTTTTTTCTCTTAAAATATTAATCTCCAGTTGCACCCATTTTTTAGCAAATGACATCATTTCATAGTTCTTCAGTAATGAATAAAACTCCATTCTGTGTCATCTGTGGCCGGGTACCTGAGCTGATTCTATCACTTGGCTACTGTAAACCATACAGGAAATAAAGAGATACTCCCAGTGTCTTGTGGCTTGTCGACTTAGAGTCCTTCTACAACATTTTCTATGTCTCTGTGCCACCGCCCAGCTGCATTCTCCAAATTTTGACCCCAGGAAAACTACTTCAAGAAGGAGAGAAGATGGCAGTGTCGCAAGGCACAGCAGCCACTCTGCAGAGGTGCTCCACAGCTGGAAGAGTGAAGAACTGTGAGGACACAGTCTGCGATCCCCAAGTTCATTGCTCACGACTCTCTCGCCTTTTGTGGTGGTGCCATGCTACATTGTTAGCTTGTGGGCTTCAGAGCAGCTGGGTAGACCTTGTCTCATTAAAGACTGTCTCTCTGCTGAGCCCACACGATGCAAGTCACATCTGCTGAACTCTAAGAACACTGTGTTTCCACAGCACTTACCCCAGCGATGGGTTGTTATGAGTCTGTGCTGTGATCGGCGACTTTTCCTAACTGAGTCTCTGAGCCCTGGGTAGGAAAACATCCATATCATTGACTTCTGCCACTCTAGCAGTTAAGATAGAGCAAACAGAATGATTACAGTGGAAAGACGTATGGTAAGGTGTCATGAGTCACACAGTTGTTGCAGTTATGGGTGACAGAGATGATGTCCGTGTTTGTCCTGTACAGGGAAGCTCCCAGCAGGCTGTGCGTGTGAGCCTGTCCTGGTCATGCTACATCATTGTCGATGCTGCAGTAGCAGTCTGGGAATGGGCATGGCCAAGCACAGATCGATGGAAGGGGAAGGAAGCAAGGAGACAGGTAAGCTGAAGAAGCAGGGCCTGGAGCAGGTTGTGTCGATGATTCCAGAGGAGGGGGCGATCTTAAAGAGACACCGTGCATGTACTCCAAACCTAGACAGATACTAAGCTGGTGGAAGTTGGGCAGAGCAAAGAGGAGGCGTGAAAGTGCCCGTAGCTGAAGAACTCACAAGTTCCAACAAGGCAGCAGGTGTCAACTGCTGGGACTAAGCAGGCAGGATGAGGCTGCTCTCTGGAAGAAGACTGAAGAACATCAAGCTGCCCCAGCATTGGAGGAGAAGACCTGAGGAGAGCCTCTGGCTGCGTATGACCGCGGGCTGGGGTGCGTTCTGACAGTAGGCACACAGGGTCGTATCAGGATGCTGATGGAGGTCGGGGCTTCATAGCCAAGGGTCTCATGAAGAAAACTCGAATCTGACAGATCAGGAAGACGGTTCCTCGGTCCCTGTTGTGGAGTGAATATTTATACCCTACCAGCAAAAAAAGCCCTCGCATGATGGCATCAAGAGGTGGGGACTTTGTGTGTGTGTGTGTCGGCGGGGGGGGGGGGGGTGATTAGACCAAGAGGATGGAGCCTAGGAATAAGCCTGGTGCCCATACAACAAGAGGCACAAGAATTTGCTCTCTGCCTCCTCTGCCTGAACTGTGTTGAGGATGCCTGGGTGGGGCCCATCTAGTACCAGGTCCACAGGCACCTTTGTCACCAATTAGCTCGCTGGGGTCCTTTGGCCACGCCCTGACATACAGGCATCATGGGCAGGCAAGGAGAAGATCAAGTGTTGGTCTATTAACCTTTATGTCCCTGGAACCTTTGTTGGCAACAGTAGACAGGCCGAGGCAGCCGACAGTGGCGCCCTCTAGTGTTGCAGCCGTCTCTGGCCTTGAGTATCTGCAGCCTGGGCTCCCAGCAGCAGCCTTGTTTGTTTTAGTGCCCAACCTTGGGTGTGACGTCTTGACAGCTCTCTGGGTTTCATCTAGTGACCCAGACCGGCTGAGTCTCTTTTCTGGATTTTTACAGCCCTTGACCCCTTTTTCAGTGCCAGTTCCCCCCATTCTTGTCATCTCTCTCTAGTTCAGCTTTCCTGCCCCCGAACCCCACCACTCCCTCTGTCCTGCTGCTCCTTCAGCTGCCGGGCAGCTGGTGCCCACCAGGGCCACCACTCTACCATCTCAGCAGATTCTTTCCGTGTGCTACCAGCTCAGGTTACAGTCCTGGAAGCAGGAAGAAGAGATCTTTTATTAGGCCAAGCG